AGTAGTAGTAGTAGTAGTAGTAGTAGTAGTAGTAGTAGTAGTATTTATTATTTTACTAGGGCAATCCCCACAGACTGTGAGTCTTTTTACAGGGTACCCTAGGTAAGTGCGTGAAATAGAGCTGAATGAAGAAAGCCGTAAGTGCGTGAAATAGAGTAAAGAAAAAAGAAAACGGTGGCTGCATACTGTGCCATTATGTGTTGCAAAAGAGGCTGCGAAGAGTACTGTTGAACATTGCAAAGGAGGCTGCCTGGCGGCATGCTGCTGGAAGCGAATTCCACCTGTCAGCAGCCAGGTAAGGCAAAGCATAGAAACCGTACCGTGACGAAGCATTAGGCAGGGCTAAAGCCAGGGCGGACTGTCCCCTGGTCAAGGCATTGGTATGGTTGCTATTTGATCTAAGTACAAAAAGCTCGGCAAGTAGAGGGCTGCGGCGGCCATGCACACATTTATAGACAAGGCAAAATATCTTTAGGTTATAACGGATGGCGACAGGAATAATTTTGTGGCGTTGACAAATGGTGGCGGTTGGGTGGCATGGTGGGTAGCCTAATGTTATCCTGAGGCTACGTTTGAAGCATCGAATGAGTGTGTTGTATAGGGTTGCTGATATCGTGTGAACGTAGCAGTTTCTGGCGTACTCCATGGTGGATTGGATAATGCTTAGGTAAAAGGAACGTTGTGCCTGGGTGGTGATGTGATGTCGTATTCTGCGGAATGCGGCCAGCTTACGGTTGACGTCAGCAACAATAGTAGTATTCCGTATTGCCTGGATTTAGGCCTCGACCAAATATGCTTGCGCATATTTCCGCATATTTTGTGAGACAGTTCATATATGGCATATTGAGCGACAAAGGGAATATTGGAATGAAGCCAGCATATAATTCAAATATTCTGAAGAAAAGGAGGACAAACCATTCATATTAAGGACAAAATGCGTTCACAAATGCCTTTTATGGATGAATTTGGAATGGTTGAGGCGTTTGCTACATTTCCCCATGGATGAAAAGTTGTGAAAACTATCGCTACGGTTGCTGGGGACACAGTCCGACACACCCCAGCCATACTATTCCGCATGTGTTTTGATTTGCACCATAAACATGATAGCCGTGAAGCCAATGAATATTCCAAGGTTGTAATTTTACTGAAATGATCTACACTTTCTGCTTATGTCGAGCATATTTTGGCATATCTTTTTGCATATCTTGCTAAGCCTTTGGCATATTATGGACGTTTTCCCTGATATGCGACGAGCATAAAATGCTCTTTTTTTAGCATAATTATTTGGTCGAGGCCTACCTGGAATTTGGCTTTGGATTTTTCTTCAATCATCTTTCCGATCACATTAGGCGAGACCAAAATAAAATCGAGATTCCCGGGCAGGACCCATGTGAAAATGGTGCGGGCGGGCGAATTTTTATTTTTTATTTTTTCCCATGTATGTACATGTACATGACTATATGTGTGCATGCCATGTTGAACTTTTTCTACAGCATTTTCCGGTAATTTTTATTCAATTGTTTTACAGAAAACAGGTACGCGGTTTACCCGTTCAATTTTTCTATAATTCGGCCAACGATGGCCCTGATCTGTACATCTGGGAGTCGTACAAGCTCGGGTTTGTGTGACTCCATGTCACAGATCTACTCACACGATCAGTACTGTACATGTATGAACTGGTCAAAAAAATTGGCTTTGGCTCGATTTTGGTACGGGAGGGCCCAAGAATCTCTATTTGTTTTTGGTCTCGCCTTATCATGGATTTTCAATAAAGTTCTTTGAGTACTAGTACTAGCAAGAGTCCATAACCCAAGAGTATGCAACTGTGATTATGGGCAGGGAGCCCTACACATACCCGTATGTGTAGGGCTCCCTGATTATGGGTGCATGCGTGGCGCGCTGCCTTCATTACGTAACTTGCATTCATCACGCTCTGAAAGCATGCATTCAAACTCTCAATTTCTCGCACGAGCCCATCCGTTTTTGCTCGATTCGTACCTACACAATCTCTGAATTCTGGCGCGTGAACTCCAGTTCCGTACGAAAGTTCTTTAGCAAATTTAGGTCTGCGCCTGCTAAGGGGGCGCGCGAATCGGGCCACTTCCTGGTCGCAACGGACACTTCGACAGTTAGCGGCAATGATTACTTTACACGTTACAGTTAGAAAGATTCGGCAGACTACATTATGAACAAGAAATAAGTACAGGGGCAAGGAGCCATAAAAAGGTGCTTCGGCAAGGGCCAAGCAAGCAGAGAGAGATTGTCAGGAAGAGAAAGGCAAGCTGGCTGGCGGCAACCGTATGCAAAAGTGAGGTCCGTGGCATACGGTACGCCAATATGCTAACGTACGCTAAAGCCAGTGCTTCCAAAAACATTGCGGAAAGTGCAGCGTGGCGCCATATGTGCACCGGCTTCTCCGATGCATCTGACCAGCTATGCGATGCTATGGCTCAATGTGCGCGCCGCCTCGCAACTACGTATGTCGATCCTACCGCACTAGAAGCTTACACGTCCTGCAGATTAATTCCTCTGGACAAGAGCCCAGGTGTCAGACCGATCGGCATTGGGGAGGTTCTCCGCCGAATCCTGGGCAAGGCCATCCTCTCTGTCATCCGCCCTGAAATCATGGAGGCTGCAGGAAGCCTTCAGTTATGTGCAGGCCAGGACGGAGGTATCGAAGCTGCCATCCATGCGATGGGGAGTGTGTTTGATGATCCGTCCACAGAGTGTCTTTTGCTTGCCGACGCATCCAATGCGTTCAATTGCCTGAACCGCGAAGTTTGCCTTAGGAATGTGCAGCACACGTGTCCGTCTCTCGCCCATCTGGTTGTCAACACATACCGTCGGCCCGCAAAACTATTTGTTGGTGGTGAAACGATCCTATCGGAGGAAGGTACAACTCAAGGCGACCCTGTGGCAATGGCCATGTACGCTATTGGCATCGCCCCGCTGATGAAGTCTGTGGCAACTGAAGGTGCGGTACAGTCCTGGTATGCTGACGACGCTGGGTCGGGTGGCAAGCTGCTGCGGGTGCGCAAGTGGTGGGATCGGCTAGTCGGAAAGGGCCCCCAGTACGGATACTTTCCCAACCCGTCCAAATCCATCCTGGTTGTGAAACCTCAGTTCCTCGATGAGGCTGTCCGTATTTTCGACGGCACAGGTGTCACCATCCAACCCGATGGTGCAAGATACCTCGGCGCTGCAATCGGCACGCCAGCCTTTGTCACCAGCTACCTGCAGCAGAAGGTTGAGGAGTGGAGCACACAAGTTCACCGCCTTAGCCAGTATGCTATCACTGAGCCGCAAGCAGCCTACTCAGCGTATGTGTACGGCCTGCAGAGCAAATGGACTTTTCTCTGTAGGGCACAACCTGGTATGGCTGAGCACCTAGCTCCGCTTGATGCTGCTATCACCAACACCTTCATTCCTGCTCTCCTAGGTCGCCCCGTCAATGCTGAGGAGCGCACCCTGATAGCATTGCCATGTCGCTTTGGAGGCCTTGGCATACCTCATCCGTCGTCCCGGGCCGAACAGCACCAGTCCTCCCTTGACATCACTGCCTCCCTCACCTGCCGTGTTCTCGCCCAAGATCCAGTTCTTGGCACTGCCATCCATGATGTTCGCGCTGCCAAGAAGCGCGTGATGGCGACAGCCGGGGAGTCAATTCGCGCAGCAGCCCAGGCCTTCTCTTCCTCCGCCAGTTCAGAGCTGCAGCGAGTGATCGCTCTGGCTTCGGAACCGGGTGCCTCAAGCTGGCTCACGTGCCGACCCCTTCAACGCCATGGCTTCACCCTGACGAAGTCGGAGTTTCGGGATGCCGTTTGCCTTCGCTTCAACTGGCTGCCGGTCCGGCTACCATCACTGTGTGCATGTGGGCAGCAGTTCACTGTGTCTCACTCCCTCTCGTGTCCGACGGGTGGATTTCCGTCCATTCGTCACAACGAGGTGAGGGACCTCACTGCTCGTCTGCTCAGGCGGGTGGCCCATCAGGTGGCAGTTGAGCCACACCTCCAGCCACTCTCCGGAGAGCAACTCCGTTATCGCACTGCTATTGCTGACGACCAGGCACGCCTAGACGTCGTGGCTAGTGGCATTTGGGGAGGACGGTTCGAACGCACCTACATTGATGTACGGGTATTCAACCCCCATGCGTCTTCGAACCGTCCCAACTCACTTGCTGCTACCTATGTCCGTCATGAAAAGGCTAAGCGTCGTGCGTATGAGCAGCGCCTGAGGGAGGTGGAGCATTCCAGCTTTGTCCCCGCCATCTTCTCTACCACCGGAGGCATGGGAAAGCATGGTGCTTCGCTCTACAAACGGATCGCCTCTCTCCTCGCTGCCAAGACTGGGGAGCCATACAGCATCACCCTAGCTGCCATCCGCTGCCAGATTGGCTTTGCACTGGTCCGTTCAGCGCTGATGTGCTTGCGTGGTGCACGCAAGGCATTCTTACCAGCAATGGCCTCAGACTCGGCAGCGCTTGTTGTTGCTGAAGCAAGAATCTCAGCTTGAGGCTTACATTATTATTATTATCTGTCAAGTGTCATTAATGACATTGTACATGATCATCACCGCGTGCGCTCGATCTAATCATTGATTGTCTTTATTTTATGTTTTGCCCGTACAAGAGGCATGGTTTGAGTTAGAAAAAAAAAAAAAAAAAAAAAAAAAAAAAAAAAGGAAAGTGCAGCGTGGGCAGCACAAAAGCCACGTGGGTGACTGTGAGAATTATGACGTAGCAAGTCTTTGCACGACATCACTCCCCCGCCAGCAGTGGACTGACGAAGGATAGTGCACGAAATGTAGAAAACAGATTGAGTAAGGCTAAGTAAATGTACAAGATTAGTGTTGCTATGGCGGATGCGGTATAGCAAGCGGCAAGAAAACGAGAAATATATAAAGTGGATATGTACAAGAATATTTACAAGTCATTGCAAATGGATACAGGGTGTATGCACTGATGACGATCACACACAAGAAATTCAGTCATTCCAATGAATTCACTCATGCCAACGGACAATACGATGCTGAATTGATACTGACCCAGATGGGGTGGTCGCTGGCAGGATGGCCGAGACAGGTGGCGCACTCGCGGCAGTGTCGGGGAGATACGCAGGCTTGAGCCGGTCAACGGAGACACTATCCTCCTTGCCATTGAGCAGTATGGTGAAGTACTTGTTGTGTCGAGAGATAACCTTGAACGGGCCTTGATAGGGCGGCTGGAGGGGTTTACGCACAGCATCCGTGCGGACATACACATGCGTCGCTGTGGCTAGGTCGCCGGACACCCACACGGAACGGTTGCTGGATCTGGGAGTGGTGGGTCGTAATGCCTGCAGAGATGTGCGGAGGGCTTGGACATAGTGAGACGGGCTGGGTGAGGTTGAAAAGCTGGGCTCGTAGAATTCACCAGGAAGACGCAGTGTTGTGCCGTAGGTGAGCTCGGCTACACTGCAGTCTAAATCGGCTCTGTACGCTGCACGGATGCCGAGCATGACCAGGGGCAAATTGTGTGACCAGCTGCCGGATGCCTGTGCCATCAGAGAGGACTTCATGTGGCGGTGGAATCGCTCGACCAAGCCGTTACTCTGGGGGTGATACGCAGTGGTGCGTAGGCGGGAGGATCCGAGTAGCTTCAACAATGCAGCGAATAAGCTTGACTCGAATTGTCTGCCACGGTCGGTGGTGATCACTGATGGAGTGCCAAAACGGGACACCCATTGTAGCAGGCCGTGTGCGGTTGACTCGGCTGTACAGTCGCGTAGTGGTATTGCTTCGGGCCAACGGGTGAAACGATCCACACACGTTAGCAGATACGTGAAACCTTGGGATGGCTGCAGAGGTCCGACGAGGTCGATATGGATGTGATCGAACCGGGCGTCAGGCGGCATGAATTTCGACAGTGGTGCCGAGGTATGCCGGTGTACTTTGGACCGCTGACATTCATGGCAACAGCGAGTCCAAGCGCGCACATTCTTAGAAATGGCAGGCCAAACATACCGAGCTGTGATCAGACGCTGAGTTGCTTTGATGCCAGGGTGGCTGATGCTGTGGAGCGAATCGAAAACAGGTCTACGGAATGCTTCTGGGACATACTGCCGTGGTGTACCGGTGGATACATCGCACAAGAGCGGGACAGGAGAGAACGGCAGCGAGATAGACTTGAAATCGAGACTGGTGTCTGGACGAGTACGGAGTGCCTCGAGCTCTGGGCAGTTGGTCTGGGCAGCCGCAAACTTGGTGAAATCAATGGGTTGCTGGATGGCATTGACAGACGGTCGGGAGAGTGCATCCGCAACAACATTGTCCACGCCCTGGATGTGTCGTATCCGGACGGCCCGGGGTTAGACCCCACGGCTGCGGTCGTCGACATGAACTATTAAAGGCTGTGTTTACATGAAGCGTTTCAACCCGGGTTGAGTTCGACCCGGGTCAGATTTCAACCCGCCATGTGCACAAAGTGAATAGGGAGGTTTAGTTCCCACGTAACGGAAACGCGTACGTGGGTGATCCACGTAAAGTGGATGAAGGGCACCCACGTTGCAATGTTGTGTTTAGTCACACGGAACAAACAAAAGCATGAAGCGAAAGGCCAAAACCTGGTCAAAGACGAAGCTACCCCGGCCTAAGAAGCTCATCCAATATTTTGATTTCGTGCTTCGGAAACTTATTCAGCTGAGCACCCTCACAGCTCGCACAATGCGCTCCATTCTGATTTTCACCCACGTTCTGGCGGAACGTGGGTGAGCCTCCATACACGGTATGTCGTGAATCAGAAAACGTCTGTACGTGGGTCACTGAGTATCACGTGGTGCACCCACGTAAAGTACCCACGGATTACGTGGGACTAAACCTCCTATCCCTAATGGCGCGTTTACATGACGCATTGCGCTTGACCCGGGTTGAAATTTCGCCCCGGGTTGATTTCAACCCTCCCCCCAAGGGGAGGGTTGAAATCAACCCGGGTCAAGAAAATCGTACAAACGTACTTCTGTTCGTATCTCGCGCCAGGTTTGAACAGCACTGCGTACTGCAGATGCAAATTTCGCGCGAACGGATTCACGTGACCATACAGGACTGTAGAAGTGGACTTTTGGCGGCATATCAGTATTTGACCCGGGTCAACTGTCTTCATGTAAACGCTCACCTCTTTTGTTTGTCGTACAGACTTTCAACCCGGGCTGAACTCGACCCGGGTTGAAATTTCTCATGTAAACACAGCCTAATCAACCTTCACATTACAAGGCCGTGCAGTGGTGGCCACTTGGAGAGAGTCCACCAACAGAATTACTCTTACGCACGCACGCACACATACCTAGACATATTCTCACACACACACTCAGGCATATACAGACACGTACACTCACACCAGCGTTCAGCTCAGGTTGACTCACATCTTGAAAGGAGCTAACTGATACTTAGTTCAAGAGCCGATCTTGAAAGCACAAGGCAAGAGAGACGGAAGCCGAAGCTTCCGCCTGAAGGCGGAAAGCAAGAGAGAGAGAGAAAAGCAAGGAGATGGCAATATGATCTAGTTGCGGCCATGGAAATCCATGGCCACGAGATTGCTGGTCCCGCATGCAATAGCGTATCACCGTAATAAATATGCGTACGAACTGTTGCATAAAGAGCGGGAGCCATGTGGGGAAATATAAAATAAAGACGATTATGAACCCGTAATACGGGAGATAGATAAATAATAAAACAACTAAATAAGGCATACTTGTCCCGTAGAGGCCTAAAAGGCACGTGCCAATCGTATGGATACGACATATAACCCCGCTTACACGGAAAAGAACACGTCCTCGTGTTATAAGTAACGTAATAAATTAGACTAAGATTATGGCTAACAATTTAACTAAGGGCCCGGTCACACATGCACTGGGATTCGCTTCGGCGACGAGGTTCGGCGGCAGCGAGCCTGGTATCGCTCCAGCGAAACCAAGTGTGTGCGGTCACACATACAAACAGGGCACAACTCCTACTTTGGCGGAAAATGAGACTGTGGTGCATACGGTACGGAGAATAGACGAGGTCAATGACTATCTTGCACGCATTTTTGTTGCATGGACATCATACGCATACAAATTTCTCGTAGCAAGTCCATTATACAGTAGACCGTGGTGTTTTCCGCTGAAGCGAATCCGCAGAAGCGACAGTCTCGCTTCGAAAATTTTGGAGGAAGCGGATTGGAGTTTCCGCTGAAGCGGAAGTTCCGCTTTTCGCCGTTGCCATGCCATTTTTCGCTCCTGCGACCTCGCTTCAGCGTATACGCTACTTTCGAGTGCATGTGTGACCGGGCCCTAAACGAGTGCAGGTCAAAATTGGAGTTCCGATCAAAAAAAAAACTGTTCAAAGACTAGCTGTAATATTGGCCACAACCAATCCAGTCAATACCACTGAAATCCTTACTCGTGCCAGACGGGACTCCCAAACAGCTGAGGTGGATGGCGGGAACGCGGGGTTCGCCTTTCCATCACGCCAACTGGCGGAGCACTGTCGAATACCCGAGCGGTGTCCTCCTCGTCTCGGGCGGCGGCATCAGGCTGGTAGGACGGAGTCAGGGTGGATGCCATGGGCTGCGGTGGGTCCGACTCATCTTGTTCGTGAACCTCCTGCAGCCGACTCGGTCGATGATGACAACCTTTCAGCCGGTTGACGTGCACTATCAGCCGACGTGCCGTGGGCTCGGACAGCTTGATGCGGTAGGTGACGGCGGAGAGCTTCTCCTCGACTAGGTACGGTCCGTGCCACAGTCTAGAAAACTTGGCGGTTGTACCCGTCGGAATGGCCGGCACCAGAAGCCACACTGCATCACCAGCTGCAAACGTCACGGCCTTAGCGTTACGATCACGGATATGCGCTTGATAGCGGTGCACGTTGCCCAAGTGCTCCCGAACCTGCGCATGAGCGTCCTCCAGGCGTCGGCGGAGAGCACTCACGAATTCCGGCTGGGACGCTACTGCGGATGCTGCTCCTGGCGGTAATCCAAATGCCAAGTCTTGAGGTAGGCATAGCTCCCGACCAAAGAGCAGATAGCTTGGACTGTAGCCGGTACTAGTCTGCGGCGTCGAGCGGTATCCCATCAAGAAGGCTGGCAACTTGATGTCCCAATCTCGATGATTCCGGCAGACGTAGTGCGCCAGGCCACGCTCAAGCGTCTGGTTGAATCTCTCAACCAGACCGTCACTCTGTGGATGGTACGCAGTTGTCCTGGTCTTATCTATGCCAAGCAGAAAGCAAACACTGCGAAACAGAGAGCCATCAAAGTTTTTGCCCTGATCGGTATGCAACCGATCAGGAGCACCAAAACGTGACACAAACTCATTAACAAACACCAAAGCAATAGTGGAAGCATCCATTCTCGAAAGCGGAAAAGCTTCCACCCATTTAGTGAAATAGTCAACTACAACCAAAATATGGCGGTTCCCTTCCGCTGTCTCCGGCAAATTGGGGATCAAATCCATAGCTACTCGCTCAAAAGGATACCCCGTCCAGGAAGACTGCATTGGAGCGCCAGACCCTCTGCCAACAGGACGCTTCAACTGGCTACAGGAAGAACAACTTGCAACCCAATCCGAGACATCTTTCTTCATGCCTACCCAGTGAAATTGTTGCGTCAGTTTCTTCTGCAGGCGTGTAGAACCCGTATGTCCCCCCTGGTCATGATACTCTTGCAAAACCAATGAACGTAAATGCCGGGGAACAACAACTTGCAAGATAGACGGCTTACCGGGGCAAGGGTCCTCCCAACGACGGCACAACACCCCCTCATGATGAACCAGCATTTCATGATTTTTCCACAAAATACGTACCTCAGGACTGCTACCCATCATGTCCTGTGGGCAAGGCGGAGAGTCCATACCTAGCCAGGACACTACTTGGGCGAGATCTCGGTCCTTCTCCTGTTCCGTTTCCCATCTTGACCACGGCCAGTTGAAACGGCGGATGAGGGGTGTGGGGATGTTGCCAACGTCGTTGTTCACGGCCCCTACGAACAGCGTCGTCGAAGCGTCAGGGCGGCGTGACAATGCATCAGCGTTAGCGTGCGATCGACCTGCCCTGTACAATATGGTGAACTCAAATTCAGACAAATATTCCAGCCAGCGAGCCACAATCGCCGGTGGATTTTTGAAATTAGCCAAGTGTTCTAGAGAACGATGATCAGTACGAATCACAAATTGTTTACCAAGCAGGTAGCAACGAAAATGTCGCACAGCCCACGCCAAACCCAACAATTCATTTTTCGTGGATGCGTACCGTGTTTCTGTATCGGCCAGAAGTCGACTAGCCTACGCTCTCGGCCGTTCCAGACCTTCCTGAACCTGAGACAGCACTGCTCCTAACCCTAGTCCACTAGCATCTACGTCTACCAGAAATGGTGATGCATCTTGCCCAAACCTGGGGTAAGCTAGTCCTGGGGCGGTCGTCAGCACTGTCTTCAGATTCAGGAAAGCGGTTTCACAGTCAGGGGTCCACAAAAACACTTGGCCAGTTTTAGTCAGGCTGTACAAGGGGCGGGCAATGGTGGCAAAATCTTGGGCAAACCGCCTATAATACCCACAGAATCCCAAGAAACCACGCACTTCTCCAACTGCTTCAGGGGTAGGCCAGTTTCCGACTTCCTCGATCTTACCCGGGTCGGTCCTAACCCCCTCCCCGGGTAACAATGTGGCCCAGTTTCAACACTCCATAATCCGAACCCACAGTACTGATTGAGGCGGGGGAGGTAGAGAAGAACATTCGCCCTTTGTCCCGAAGAAATTGTGCAAGGAATGTGGGATAATACGTCCCGGCCAACAATACAATCACGCGGCAACCCCTTAACAATTCTTACCCGGTGCCAACAGGTTGCATCTCCGAGTTCCAACTGAACAATTGCTGACGCCAC